AAAACAATGAGTTACTTGAAGGAAGTAGTTGACCCAAGGGCTCTCTAAAAAGGTGATGGACTAAGCTTTGAATGTCATGATGGTTGAAATTGTGCCATATGGAGGCCAATTTTCTACAGCATCACCTGTTAAATTATAGTGGTATTTATATTAGTGCAGGAAGAGAGAGGCCCAATCTTCTAAAATGACCTTGCACCTGTTCAATTTTCTTTATGGCCTATACAGAGTTCTACTTCAATGACATAGACAGATATCCTTAAAGTGACTGCGGACAAGGTCTTCTTATCTAACATCAGTAGTTGACCTCACAGATGAGGTCATCAGCCCATTAACACACTCCTAGACATTTCTGAAAAGTGTTATAGTAGTAGCAGTATTTAATACAGATCAATAAATTTACTTTTCTCTTCTTCACCTTTTAGATGACACGATAGCTCCCTACCCAAACCAGTTTGAGGACGTGATGGATTTTATCGAGGCTACCATTGGCAGACTGCGGAGGTCATCGGACACTAGCGGGAGCACCGGAGGACGGAGAGAGCAGAGACAGAGAGGAGCAACAAAAACAAGAAGCACAAAAGATGAGAGAAGAGGGCACGGGGGGAAGAGGAAGGGTCGAGGCCGGGCAGGAGGCCGAGGAGGCAAGGGAGGGGAGAGAGAGAGGGAGAGGATATCTGTACAGAGTCGTGGCTGCTTACTTAAGGAGGTCCATCTCAATGTGACGGATTTGGGGTTGGGGTACCAGACTAAGGAAGAGCTGATCTTCCGGTACTGTAGCGGACCCTGCATTGAGGCAGAGACCAACTATGACAAGATCCTAAATAACCTCACACACAACAAAAAGCTGGACAAGGACACACCCTCTCGCACCTGCTGTCGACCGATCGCGTTCGATGACGATTTGTCTTTTTTAGATGACAATGTCGTGTATCACACATTGAAAAAGCATTCAGCTCGAAAGTGTGGCTGCGTCTGAGAAAGTGAGAAAAGCATGACAAAATGCTGCAGCCAACTTTGGATCGTTTTAGCAGATGCTGCAGACAGAGGCATTGCAGTGAGACATGTGCACTGGAGGTCAGAAGGTGTTGCCTCATATTTGTCAGCTGGTACCAAGATGAGACAAAGTGGAGAGCATTGAGAGCTTCTGAGAGACAATGGAACTGCTGGGCTAAAACAAAACAACCTGCACCAATTTACATACGATATTCCAGTTTGTGCATAAAGGTTCCAGTTCACAGCAGATTGAATACTGTTACACTAACAGAGTGTGGTCAAAAAAAGAAGATGAAGGAAAACTGTGATTTTGCAGGAGGATATCTTTCCCTGGGAGTTACGTCTTTTCATAGGTGGCTGGATGAACCCCGAGATTTTAAGGGGAACTCTCTCAGTTGTAGTCAAAATCACTTCCACTGCAAAGTCTGGATGTTGACATTCAGAGCCAAGGAATACACACTGAGGCGCAGCAAAGACTGGTGCAAAACATTTACATAAGAAAATTAACATATTAACATACAGTATATATATATATATATATATATATATATATATATATATATATATATATATATATATATATATATATATATATAATTTTAAAATGGTATGTGTAAGAGGTATATTTATTGAGATGGAATTAAGTTATTGTTATTTATTTCAATCCATTGTATGAAAGAAAAAGTATTTTTTCTTATTTATTTACTAGCTTTGTTTGTCCTGGATGGTGCCACAGTACTAGGTTTTCTAATGCAAAATATTTCAAGGTTTCTCAGAACTGCTAAACACTCCCAAATATCTTGGAAATGCTTTTTCATGTCGTTTAAATTCCAGCAATGTTCACAAGTGACAACCAAAGGATGATCATTTACCGTGAAGGCAATGTACAGAGACAGAGGAGGGGACCAGTAGATGAGTTATGGTAGAAATGATTGGAGGAATTTTGAGCTTTTTTAAACTGTTTTAAACAAACAGTGGTATATTTTGCATCATTTTTCACTTAGGCAAATGCTTTGGCATGGGAAACATTAACTTACTTCCAACAAAACCTGACTCCTATATTTAAAACCATCCATTTATTATGCTCTGTTTGCAATAAAGATGTACTGAGAATTCATTTGGTGACCAAAACCAAAATTCAAAAATACTATAGAAAGAAAAATAGGAAAAATACCATCATCACTGATGTCATTTTATTTAGGCTGTGGTAGAAACACCACTCTTTTGTGTGGTTGCTGTCATTGCAGGAAAAAGGTAAAAGGTGAGGTATCAGAAGAGTTTGACATTAGGTAACAAGAAGCAAAGCAAAAATAAAAATAAGTTAAACTATTTAAAAGGAAACAGTATTTTTTGCTTAATTTTGAATGCAATATAGAGAGCTAAACACAACAAAACATGCCTATCCAGTGACAGAACAAATTTTAAACTTAAATATCAACTTTGAGCATTTTATAAAGGAGTTTAGACTTCATTTAGCTGTGAAGTTCAAACTCAGAACTAAAAATAACCATCAACCATCTTAAGTGCCACTTTGGTAACTGAAATTCAACAATCGTTTATACAACCATGTGTTTTCTCAGTACTCTGTAGCAAAATGTTTGTAAAGGAGGTTCTAAAGTACATTTGTATGACTGATATAAATAGATAGAAATTACCAAAGGTGATAAGTAACCAATTTTTAATTAGTTTTAAATGAAAAGCAAGAATATTGTATCTTTTCTCAGTTGGCTGTTGAAACTTCTAATTTTCCACACATTAAATCATAGCTTCCAGGTACTTTTCAGTTAATTTAGCAACCTTCTGATTACCCATAAAGTATATTAATGCGTCTACTTTCTGTTCTTCAACCAGTTAAGAAGCACCAATAGACAAGAAAGGTTTTCTACATGATTTTTGGTTGATGTAACTTATTAACCAACATTAGTTGAATTGTGTTGTGCCTAAAGTGTACCCCAGCGGCCTTCGGAATGACAAAAACACAACTTAAGACAGGCATACAGTTGGTTGGGCAACATTTGGCACAGGCCGTTAATGCAGATGAGTGATTTTTAAGATATTTAGGCTGGAAATGGGAAATCGGTGAGGCTTTTAAAAAGATTAAAACAAATGTTAAATAGGAAAATATAATGTATAACAAAAGGTATGTGCCTTTTACCGACTCTGATTTATGCTGTCATTATAACTCCTTAGTAAATATAACTCCAGCGACTTCATCCCACCCATTTACCATTTTCAGAGAGCGAGTAACCAATATCCCGCTTTTGTAGCTTACAACAGACAAAACAGTTACCTGGACTAAAAAATAGAAATCGGTTAAATCAAACTGTTTTTAAAGTTGTTTACTTTTAAGGTTTTAAAATGTTAATTAAAAAAGGCCAATATATAGTTTTAATAGTACCATTTTAGACCATTTGACAAAATGCTTGGACACCATAAACTAGAAGGTTTTACCTAAAGAAACAAAATTTTGTTGAGTAAGTCATTTTGACTAATTTTAGAATAACTTCTCTAAATACTGTACATGGACACTAATGTAGCATTGATAGCCACATTTCTTGTGGTTTGCCATTAAATAAGATTCTAAAGACATTTTGAAATACCAACTCCATTACCACACACAGTATGACAACACCTCTGCTATTAATCTAAATAATAAATTACCATTTAATTATTAAGCAGCTGCATCAATGAAACCTTTTTGAAAGGCTTGATAAGATTATTACTTACCATTTAAAATTGGGACACATTCAGCTTTTAGATAAACTATCTAAATGGAGAAAATGCATGTTAATTCACCCAGAATACCCTTTAGGTGATACTAAAGCAATTATGGAAATGGAAATCTCAAAGACATCACAAGCAAGCTTTGGCAGATGCATGAATCCTTGCCAAATAGCAGAGGTTATACAAAATCCATGAATGGCCTTGCACTGGTTCTAAGTGCAGATTTACAGCAGTAAATGTCCTAGTGAGCTTTAAACTTCACAAGTCTGCCTATGTTTCTGCCCGCACCATGACTGACAGCTCTTATTCCTTCAAAGGGGATTTGGAAGTGATCCTCTGACATGAGTCTTAACTGTATATCCCCTCCAGCAAAGACAGTTTAAGGCAGATCTAGCTACTGTAGCTGCTGTTGTCATGCAGCCGCTGTATGTATGTGAAGACTAGACGTTTGGACAAAGGAGTATGTTTTGGAAAAACCTAGAGAGAGGACAATGGGTCTGCTCAGTATGCTTTCTGCACGTAACAACTTGTCGAACAGAAGACATTTCTCAAACTAAAACCAAGATATATATGAAAAGCAGCTGTGTATCCCCCTTTTAAAGACAGGGCAGTCATTATAAGTGGAACAAAGAGAGCCCTCGTTTAGGTCTCGATGTTAGCACGGATTAGGGACCAAGGTATCTGTGCCCACCCGGCAGCAAGCTAGCCAGTTTTACTGTGTAATCCCCCACCCCCCATTCACAGAACAAATCCACTGCATCAGGATGAATTTAGGCCAAATACTAAACACAGATAAAAAAAATAAAAAATCTAAATTTTATCACCTGAAACTGTATCATCTACGCTTCTTAATAATTTGAAAACATTTGTGCATAGATCAGACATCCTTGCCACTCCTCGGTAAGCATAACAACTTTTCATCTTCATTACCTTTAACCTTACTGTCCACCGGCAAGCTTCCTCTTAAAAACGAAGGAATCTGCAATGTTAGCATTTGTTTTCACTCTGTTAGAATTTTTGTTGAGGAAAGAACCTGTATTGTCTCACTTGTTTTGTGTTACAGAACCAAAGCTCTCTGCAAACTTTATTTTTGTACAATATTCATTTTATAACTTTTTACAGAATTAAAACTGTTTCTATTAAATCAACAGGACTCCTGGTATTCCAATGATCGAGCATGATTCACTTATGACTTGCATGACTATGTTATTATTTTTTCTTAATCTTTTCTATATGGGGGCGCTGTGAGCTGCAGAGGACAAAGGGGGTGATGTATTGAAGAAGGATGAGTATCTTCAATTTTTTTCAAATTCATCTTTAATTTACAAAATATATATTTTTTAATTTTAGTCACCCTCATTTTTTCAAACGTGACAATAACCCCAAATGCATCATGGTTGTAAAGCAAAGCCGACTGACAAGGCAAGGCAAGGCAAGGCAAATTTATTTGTATAGCACAATTCAGTACAAAGACAATGCAAAGTGCTTTACATGATTAAAATATAGGAAAATAAAACAGAATCAAAGCAAGTAGGCAAAAAATAAGAAAATAAATAAATAAAAAGAATTAAACATTGGGTATTAACCTGACCATAACCATAGGGAAAATCCCATCTCTGCCAATTTTGCCAAGGAAAGTTGTCAAACATACAGATGAGTTAAATTAATCCAAAACATAGGCATCAAATCCTTCTTTTAAACATTTTTTAGTTAGCCTTTCCACCCTGGAAAAAATAAAGATTCAAATCTCTTCTAAAAAAGCCCTAAATTAAGAGTTTTTATACCCATGGTGAGTGTATGTAAACTGCTCACTGCCACTGTCTCTCTTTACACAAACATGAAAAAATTTGGTTTAGTGGTAAATTTAGTCAATCCTTTGCAAGTTAGCCTCAACAATGGGCCACTGACTTTTGCATTTAGATTCTTGAACCAGAGCCCAGGGTCTGCTGTAAACAAAAGCGTGGTTAAGAGCCCTGAGTTGTAAATTACAATTCTGGAGAATGTTTCCACTGTACTAGGGAGATGTGTGCCTATTTTGTGACACAGAAAGAGTTACAAAAGAAGCAATGTAATTCAACTAGTGAAATGCAAGAGCTAATTTCTAGCAAAATTAGCTCTTAGAACAAATGCAATTAGAACACAATTGCAGATCAAATGTGAAAATTACCTTTTAATCTGGAAATTTAAAAATACCACAGCCCGTGTTGACTTTTTTCCTTTTTATTATGATTCAAGAGCAATCCAGATGTTAGATATGAGGAATTAAAAGATGGAAAAAGCAATAAGCATAACCTTTTTTCCCCCCAGATTTTAATTTGCAGCTTTATTTTTCTGTGATCCTTCCACTCTTAGTGAGGTTGGATTGTTAGTAGACCATATTAAGATCCTTTCCTAGAATGTTTATTTAGATTTATATCAGGGTCTGGATGGGCCACTGAGGGACAATCATTGATTGCTCCAGCTTTTATTATCTAGTATGCTGGGTCATTGCTTTGTTGGAAGATGATTGGTTGGTATAATTTCATTTTGAATTTCTCTAGATTTGGGTGCTGTCATCTCGCCATATTCTATGTGGAATAGCTGCTGGCTGCTTAATGAAAAAAAACAAAAAAACAGTTTTGCTGTTTATTGTCTATTTCTAAAGCCTGCCAATCAATGTGTTGGCATGTCCATCAGGCCATTCTACCATAAATGTCTGACAGGTAAAGTCCATTAGCAATGGTAGGTCTTCTAAGTATCTCCATGAAGAGACTATGAAACGCAGACTTAAAGACTGTTTGGTTTTTGGTCGCCTCTCTGACCAAAAAGTGCTCAGTGTTTCAGACAGCCAGTCATATTTAGGATTCTAGTGGTTCCAAACTTTAAAAAGGCACTAAATGCCACCGCTTTCTTTTTCCAGATTCTGTTTTAGTCTTCAGAATTTTTTTTGCTTCATCACTTGATTTGTAAAGAGAGCTGTGAGATCTGGCATACAAACATTTCTAAAGCATGTCCTAATCGAAGTGGACTTGCAGAAAGTTGCAGAAGCATCTTATATACATTTTTTGATTTTGTTTAAAAATACTTATTTGCTCTTGTTTCATGTGGATATGATTTAAAGTTATAAGAAGAAGGCAAGAAATGAAATTTAATTTCTGCAATATCAGAAAGGGTTTTTCCTACAGGAGACTGACAAGCTTTTCAAGATTATTACCTGCTGACCAGAGGTATCACTCAAATGCTCATCACACCAATCACATCTGTAAGTCATATCCTGTGTGAGAAAGATTCTCCAACAACTAAATGTCAAAATCAATTGCAATGTTTTGAGTCTGACCCCTTTCATTTTGGAAACCTTCCTGGAAACTTCAAAATTATGTTTTGGTACAACCACAGCATGTATAAAATAAACTAAAGATTTTATTTAGTTCATCTGGTCTCATGAAGATATCACTGGCAGATTATATATGTAAAAAAAATAGTCATTTGAGTGAACTGAGCTTTTAATAGGTGATTATTTAAATTACTTTACCTTCAGGCAGGTATTTCCACACCAAGCGTCTCAGTTTCACAGGTGCTGGTGCCAGGTGACAGGACTTCAGGGTAACCAACCATCCCCTTCACTTACTTTGGCTGCAGTGCAAAAAAAAAAAACATTAGCCTGCTACCACACAGTTAGTCTGCCCTTTTCAATTTTGTAATTAAATATTCTAATTCCTCCAAATTGATTCTGGTAAAACCTTTGTCTTCATTTCATCTTCTGACTAAACAGTATTTCAAAAGACAATAAATCTGTCCCCTCATTCCCACTGGCCAGAAAGCACTTTTTTTTGGTTTCTGGGTTCGTAGGTAACTGAAAACGAACATCAGAAAAAATTATGAGACTCAAGGTTTTAAAAGGGCTTTAGAAAAAAGGAAGTTACACAGAAACGTGTGTAAGATACCAACCCTAAGCGTGTTGTTCACTTTTCTTCACCAAAGATTTAAAGGATGCTGATGTTAAACTACAACTTTAATGCATTTTAATAGGATTGCAAATATGAATCTGAAGTGAATGAGGTTCGTTTGCATCAACACATTTTGGGAAAATGTTTTATAGAAATAAAGCTGCAAATCCTTTAAGGTATGAAGACCGACCTGGCACATCTAGAAACATGAAAGATTTGCTTGTGGTCTATTGCTAATTCTAGGTTAGACATGATGGGGAGTGTATGTAAATATGTAATTTTAAGGTTGACTTATGTAAATTTTGATTACGCCACTACAACTCATTAACATTCTTTGATCTGAAGCATTTCTTTGCTATACGTTTATAGTCATCCTCTTGCTGGAAGGTGAACCTCAATCATTACCCTTTCACAGCCTTAAATAGATTTTCTTCCAGATTTGTTCTGTCCAGGATTCCTCTTCAGCTCTCCTGCAGCATGAAGATGCCACCAACAGGTTTTTGTTTTGGTCAGACTGATTCTGAGTATCTAGCTGTGTTTTGCATGTAGACCAGAAGGTTTCATTCTATCCTCATCTAACCAGACCAGTTCTTTCACATTTGCTCTGTCCCTACTTAATTCCTGGCAACCTTCTTTCTTTCCACATCTTCATAAAGTCCACGTTTGTTCTTCTGTCGACAGTTTCTCTGCAGTTTCTCCAAAGTTACCACGCAGCCTGTTTTTAATCAAAGGTTGGACACCAAGATCTAGGTGGGATTCAGGCTGGAGGATACATGTTTTAAGCACAGGAAGTTGTTTTCTAACCTAAGTTTACGTTACAGTCATTCACAGCTTTATCCCTGACCAGTCTGCCACGTTCCTCATTTTTCCTAACCATCTTTGCTACTTAATATTTCCAACAAACCTCTAAAGATTTCAAAGAACAGCTGAATTTACACATTGATCAAATGCATTTCACATCACCCAGATTCTTTTACAAAAGAAAGTAAACCATGGATGATTTTCCTTCCACTTCTCCAAGTGTTGATTATATAAAATAGAAAGAAGTTCATGGTTGTAACAGGACAAAATGTGTAAATGTTTTACTTTTGGAAGGCATTGCATGCTATAAAGCAAATAAAACTCACAGTAACACGTGGTAGGCAGAGGCTGCATTCCAATATGCTGAACACAAACATGGCTTTCATTATTTCTATTGTGGGCTTTCTCTGTCACTCCAAATACAGACACAACGCAGGTCATTTGACATTTTTCTAAAGAAACTGTTTCATGTCACAGACAAAGATGTGAAAAGGTTGTAAAGGTGTAAAGGAGAAAAAAGGCCTAATTTAAAACAGGAGAAAATATAGTATTGGACCTCAGGAGGTTTTCAAAACTCATGCTTAAGTCAGAGTTCTATGCAAAACTGAGATCTAGAAACTCAAATTAATAGAGCATGTTTACTGTAAAGGTGAAAATCCGCTAAATGAAACTATAACAGGCCAATGGTGACGGTCAGGAATATAAATTTCTCCTCCGTGCAACCACAGCTTTACAAAAAATTAAAAAAATTATAAATAAAAATTATTTTGCCAGAGTAAAAATTCCCTCCTTTATTTTAAGCAATGCATAGCGTGTAAAAGGCTTTCAATGCAGTAAGTAAAAACAGCAGGACTGCTGCGTATCTTCAGGTTTGAGCTTGTGTCTCACAGGAAAGGCATTCCTTTGATCAGCAGGTAAAACAGATCAGACTCAGCTTCACTTTGGATGAAAAACGACTATTTGACAAGAGGAGATATGTTCCTTTATTTAAGGTTTGAGTTGGTTTACATGGTGTAGAGAAAACAGCAAATAATTGAAGGCCTTGCGAAAAAAAGCACAGCTTTCAAAACGTAGAATCTAAAAAATATTCCCACATAAAAACAGCTAAAATCATATTACGATGCACTATTTGCAAACTCTCCTGGTAACGAACGGCACCGAACCACAAAAATCTGGAGCTGATTTACGAGGTATTAGTAACCTCTGGAGACCTAGGGTGTGAGGACAATAGAAATTATATAATTATAGTCGACACAATCAAAACAGACATAAAAAGGGAAGCGGTTCATGTTTAGCAGTGAAAGGATCATAAAACTGTAGAATGGTAAATTTAGATTTACGAGTTTCCTTTATTCACTACAGCAGAAAATAAAAAGAGGCTTTGAGCTTTATGCCTACAGAACAGAGGGCAGAGATGGAATTTAATTGACGTTCCTGAGCGTTTTGTCTGCCTTTCTGCTTTAACCAAACTATCAGCTAATCTCTTCAGTCTTCTAGATCTTGCGTTTCTTCCACTCTGGTTCTTTTTCAGCCTCCTCATCCTCGTCCGACTCCTCTGCGAACACAGGCTCCGGTTGGGTCCTGCAGGGATTCACAGAGACGAGCAATGACTAAACTGTCTTTTGATTTAATTAATGTTCAGACAGATTTAGAGCAAACAATAGAATCATCCAGCTGCAATGGAATGAATTAAATCAGACGCTGGAGTTTCAAAGTGGCAGATCAACGATTTCCTCTTTACAAACCAAGTGGATTATTCTCTTATGAAGAATGATGCACAAACACAATTTTCCAGGCAAACTTCCCATCTTTTTAAGACAAACTTCCAGGTAGATGGATGATACTTTTAGACAAGATAATAGGGAATAAAATCTGGAAATATAGACAAAGACTTTTCC